AAAATTGCAACAAATAGTAGCTTGAAATCCAATGAGTTCAATTTAAAGGTAATTTGCTAACAAAGTTTATTGATTCCAGAAGACTTTACAAAATACACATCTAATACAACAAGAGACTCAAATATCTTAGATACATAGCTACACCACTCACACTGGTCCAAGAAACCATATTGGATGAAGAAACTAGAGCCTATCTCTTAATGAAATGTAGTGCTTTGAGCAATATTAGCTATCTATACATGTTTGGTCTCAGATGAGCATCATAATGTGAGACAGGAAATGATGGGGGTTTACCTGTCTCATTCCTCGGAAGGGATCTTAAGAATACTTCTTCGCCTGAGGACAAGTTTGGCACTACAACAGGGCTTAATGTGGTTAGTGAGGATTCATATAGCGGACTCCAACTTGCTTGGGATTGAGACACAGTAGTTGTTGTATTGGGACGAAAAGGATATGTGGGGTAGGTTGATTTACTAGAAAATGGATGACCAAAACCCGAGGGAGGATTAAGGTAGTCGAATCCAGTGGTATATGGTAGACCTGTAATAGCATTTGATGGAGACTCCATGTAAGGAGTAGTTGAGAATTGATCATAGCCAGGTTCATGAAAATGATTCGCTGAACTGAACCTTGACGGAAAACCTTGATAGCTGGCTGTTGTAGTTGCTTCAAGTTGAAAATCCGTTGGTAGTCTAAAAAGGCCAGGGAATCCAGGAAGAATGTCTAATCTGTCAATTCTAGCAGTAGGAATAGAATGTTCTATGGACGATCCACCTTCTGCTATTGGCGAGACGTTGATCTGTTGGCTAATCGAAAATTTAGCTTGTTCAAGTGCTCCCAGGATAGAACCTATGTTATCTGAAGCATCCCTAGAAACCAAGGCTTGTCCTGCTTGCAAACTGCTACCTCCAGAAGACGAGATACTATTCTCCAAGGGGTGTATAGGGGAACCATTAGCAGACGGTAACTGATGGCGACTATAAGCAGGTGTCGGGCCATCATTTTCTGGACAACTCCCATTAGACTTTGAAAGTGCAAATTCTGATGCTGGGGACTCAGAATTAATAATTCTGCTGCAGTTCTGATCCTTCCTGCAGCTTGTACCGATATGCGGAGTGGATGGAACATTGTCTGTAACTCCATTCGTGGAGGGAATATCAACTTCCTGGAATTTGTTTGCATGATTATGCAAATTAATCATTTCAGCAGAATATGGTTGCTCAAATGCTTTCATGTCATCTCTTTCTTCAGTCACATCCGAGTAATTCCCGGGGTCACATGAATCCTGAGTAGTTTATGAAAGTCAACTGAAATGAATTATGAAGGTGTGTACTGGACTAAAGCAAAAGCAGCGAAATGCATCAAGACCACAAATCGAAGAAAAATTAACAGTACAAGTTAACAAATATATGATCAACCGACCAACTACACATCAATCTCAGATTAGTCAAGATGAGCTATAAGGATTTTTTGTTTTCCATATAGAAGTTCATCATGGTTTGACCATTTTCAAGCTGGCCAACCAATCACAATCCAAGTCCTTTATCAGAGCTTCAGAAGCTCACATGAATAAAAAGTAATTTGCATATCTCTGTCCATGACTACACGTCTACACCCAACATGGACAGATGACCGTAACATTTCAGTAGCATTGCCATAATTATTTTAGAATAACACACCGAAACCAGTATATAATCCAGTTATGGAGAAATAAGATGATACTAAAAAGTAACTATCACATGAATAAATTAATCAAGAGTCATTATTTGCCGGTTATGTTCTTGAGTATATCAGTCTAACGACGATCTTCAACATCAGTGTCTTTGCACAGATCAAGTAGCCAACAGATGAATAATGTGCATGTGCTTGATAAAAAATTCATATATACCTGTGCATAGTTGTTATTCTCTCTATACTTTTCTTCCCATTCTCTTTGGGCTTTTTCCTCAGCTTCATATTGCCCTATAAGCTGTGCCTTATGCTGCAAAGCTCTTTCCATGCCTTCATCACTCTCATCTGATTTCCTTTGATTTTCTGACATTTCTGAAGTAGGTAAGTGACGTTGATCTTTCACATCATTATTGCCAGCACTGTCCATTAAGGATTGATGCCCATTATTAGCAAAAGAAGGAAGATGCTCGGGGGGGCATTCATCAGTGGCCGTTCTGGTCCACAAAAGAAATGAGGTTAAAAATGGAAGATGATAAAGAGAAAGATGCTTAAAGTGACTTTAGTGATCTAAATGCACAAGGAGATAGGCATGTAGCTAGTGAAAATATGTATCAGGAATTGACCAAGCATTATCGTAACTGAAACTTCCCCTCTCCCCCCCTACCTCCAAAGCAATATCCCAAAAAGAATATATTCTTCCCTCGGGAAGCAGACAGTACAATGCAATGGAGTAGGTATGAGCAGAAATAATAATAATAGGCCAAGTTATCAAGGGTTAGGGCCTAGGGGATTCAGATATTGACATTTCTGAAAAAAGCCTTCCTGAAGTTCCTGCGGAATAAAGTCGAGCTAAATGTGACCCTGTCACTCAATCAAGACTTCCAAATTAAAAGATATAAGCATCATGATATGTTATACTCCAATCAGTGAGCTTATTAAAGAACTTACTTGGTGGTATTGCGCCTTATCCGTCGGCATGATTTTCCAGCCCGTTTTGGCGAAGAAGACCCAGTTGACGCGAAACTACCAGACCTCCTCCAGGCAGAATCAGTATATCTGTTCCTCTCAAAAGATGGCAAAGAATGTTTACCACTTTTCCACGACAAACTTCTGCCAGTTGATGGAGAAGATATAATCTCGGAGCTTGAGATGTCTGCATCATTTTCTCTTTCTTTCACATTTGATGGATTTGGCTTACGCTCATTTCTGTTGTCAGTGGAGTCAGCACCTTTAGAATTAGAGAATATTGCTTCCTGATCAGAGCCTGAATCAAATTCCTCCGAAGCATCAGATATTCCTTCGTTCTCTAAGATGGATAGAACAGCTGCTGTGGCCTTCTCAGCCTTCTTTCTTTGTAGTGACACAATCTTTAGCTGATCTTCCAGTTCCAAGACCTAAAATACATTAATTACAAACATTCATGTTTCCCACTGCAATGGCGGAAACTCTTGGAACGGGGAATGATCAATTAGATGTCGGTAAAATAAACTACGCTCGTGATGTGCAGAGGAAGGAAGAAAGATTCAACATTTTGGTGTTTAGGCACTGTTAAACTAAAGACTAACCCTCTCAGCTAGTTCATCAGCTCTCTGCCTTGCTGTTTGTGAGACAGACCTTTCAGCCAATAATCGTGCTCGGAGAAATTCAATTGTCATGCTAGAATCTTCCATGCCAACAATTTTCCTGATCATGGAAAAATATAACATATTAGGATCCATTATTAAATAACAACTAACTCATCAATAAATAGAAGAGAATAAACTATTCGACAGCATATGAGAACACCACTAGAGTTAGGATCTTTTCAAGAACTCAATGAGATTATATACCTAGAGACATTGATATCCCCCTTCTCACCGCTCCCTCTCCCTCCAAATTGGGGATTCCCTCTCTCCTCTTTCTTCTTTATCAATGGAGAGTAAGCATTTCAGTACTTCATCTCATAGAGAACCTTATACTTTCCGTAAGTGATATTCTTTATAAAACAACAGAGATTGAATTCCATTTATTACTTCATACAACAATAACAACTATGCTTCAGTCCCAAAAACGTATGAATCCGCACTTCTTCATTTAAGCTCAGTACTTCGTAAGCAAACAAAAACGATTTAGCTCTTAAGTGAATCATTGTACTAAGTCTATCACTACTACCCAAGATTTTTCCCCTTCCTTTGCACTGCCCTAGAACTGAACCAGAAAAAAACAAGAAATATAACAACCACATCTCATATCCCAATCCCCATCTCCATCTTAATGAAAGAAAACATTTTTACTTCTACCGCTTACTTTTGTTGCACTCACAGAGTAAAAACACAATCTCTACTGTTTTTTTTTTTGTTGCTGTAAAGAGCTGTTGTAAAGCAATCAAAACCAAACCCCAGATGGAATATATGCCAAAATCTAACACTTCATAAGTACACAGATGAATATTTACTCATATAGAAATGTCTACAAAGCACATATGACTCAGTACCTCTGATCTTGATCTTGTTTCCCATTACTTGTCATCTTGTAAAATTCAGCTCAAAATTTAACTCCTGAATAAAACAGCACCCAAAAAATTATTTGAATGCCCAAACAGAAAGAATCAAAGAACCCATCAAGATTTTTACAGGAAAAAATTGAAAACAAGAATGCTAGTTAACTCAGTAAGACAAATAATTGAATAAAAATTTGAACTTTCTTCACCTTGAATAAAGAAACAATTTTTACTGGATATTTGCTCTAAAAAGATGTTGTAAAGCAAACAAAACTAAACCCCAGATAGGAAATATGCCTAAATCTAACAGTCCATACATAAAGATTCAGTACCTCTAATCTTGATCTATTTTTCCCATCTTGTAAAATTAAGCTCAAAATTCAGCTCCTGCAAATAAATAAAGTGAATAAAACAGCACCCAAACACACAAATTCAAAGATTTTTTCAGAAAAAAGTTGAAAACAAGAATACTTAGTTAAAAGATTTGAACTTTATCCACCTTGAAATTGAACCTGATTTCAGTTTTTTTTTTGAGACCCTAAAAGGGAGTAGTTGAATTCTTGCTTTACTTTAGTGTGTTGTCATGAGTTTCTGAAAAGGGTAGCTTTGGAAATGAAGAAAGCAACTTGTATATTTCACCATCGAATTTTAATAGCTCAGTTAATTGACGAATATTTGATTCTTACCTTATTCTTTTTTCCTACCTCTAAATAAGAGAGTTCGAGTTAAATAATTTTAATTAAAATTAAATACTATTGAGATAAATAATTATATTAGTAGTAAACTTAACCACGCTTAGGCTTTATATATATAAAATAAAATAAAAAACTTCCATTTTAAAAACCTTATCCCTCCCCTCTATCTATTTTCCACTTTTACAAAATATCACCGGAAAAATACATGCTCTTTCCGGCGCCGATAGTAAATTAAACCGGAAAAACTTGACGGCCGCCGGCGCCCTGGTTTTAACTGAGTTTCTCTTCATATAAAGTCAGATTCTTTGGTTCTTTTAATTCTTCATTTCAGGTATATGCCCCAAAATTATTATTTCATTTGCATTTGCTTTAATGGTTTGTAATTTCTGTGTGAAAGTTTCCTACTAATATTTTTGAAATAGGTTTATGTATGAAACAGGTAATAAAAATCACAACTTTTTACAATTTAAAGAATATTAGTATGATATTGGAATAGCTAAAGTTTAGTTTTTAAATGTTGAGTTAATCTTATCCAATTTAGCTCTGTAGATTAGTCAAATTGACACTCGAGATACGAAAAGTGACGAGTAGTTTGGGAAAGGAGTTATAATTGTTATAAGAAGAAAAAATTGAAGGTATAATGCTAGTAAATTGGATTAAAGTGATGTAGGAAAAGTGATAGTTTCTTGTAGGAGTAATTACCACATGTGAATTTGAAGGGGTTGAGTCAAGTACAAATAGCACATTAGCAAATTTTCGCGTTAATAAATAGAAATTTGTGCTAACATAACTTGCTTTGCAACTTCTTTGTATTTTTGATATTTTATCAAAATCATAGTTTTAGAGAATTAGTATTAATTTGCATAAAAGGACAGAGTATCTTGTGTTGTAATGAACATGAATAGAGCAGAATTAACACAAAGAATTCATATAGCGTGCCCCAACTAGTATGGGATTTGGTCATAGTTGAACTTGAATATGTATATCTTAATATCATGTGTCGTAGACTCGTAGTCATGTTTTGTGTTTTTTGTTGTTAGATTTAGGTGTTTTTGGATTTAGAAACTGTAATTTAACTGAATGAAGTTTAAATGTAGGGTTGTAATCCAACTATTGAAGCACAAAAACCATTTCGACCCCTTCTCTCCTGCTCAGAGTACATCTGTATGTGTTCTTCAATTCAAAAATGCAAATCTCACTAGCCACTACAATACCAAAAGTACCTTCATTCTCCACATATTACCCTTCCACCTCAAACCAAACTCAATATAATGTTCAAAAACCAAGCCACGGTATCTCAACGCAAACACACATCAGTCTTCCAGCTCCATGTGCTGTCAAAAGCTCCTCTACCGGCTTCTTGTCTGCCATTGAGAGAGCTATAGAGGAAGAAGAGTATAGAAAAGCCAGGGCTGAGGTAATCCGCAAAGGGTTAAATGTTGAAGGTTATTCAATTGAAGGACACTCAATTGGTGGGCATGAGACCTGTGTTATTGTGCCACAACTAAAGGCTGCTTTTGATATTGGGAGATGTCCCTCAAGGGCTGTTCATCAAAACTTCTTGTTTATCACTCACGCGCATCTTGACCACATTGTAAGTTTTTCTTCTTTTTATTCTAAGCTTTGAGTAATCAATGTTCTCAGAAAGAAGAAATTTGTTTTAGTTACGTAATAATCCATGGGCCTATGCACAATTCTTGGTGCAAAAAACACAAATCTTCTTATGGCTTGATTTGAACTTTATAGCCAGTGTTGACTTTTGCTTTATCTTCTGATTCAGGGTGGACTTCCTATGTATATTGCCACTCGTGGCTTGTATGGCTTGAAGCCCCCGACTGTTTTTGTGCCTCCTTCCATAAAAGAGGATGTAGAGAAGTTGCTTGATGTTCATAGATCTATGAGTCAGGTGGAACTGAACTTGGATCTGATTGCTTTAGATGTAGGTAAATATTCTGTTTTCTTTACATGCTTTGCTTCTCCATTTAGTTTTCTTATCTCCATATGTAAAATGTATTTGCAACTTTGAACTCAGGGGAAACATATGAGATGCGGAATGACCTGGTAGTAAGGCCAGTTAGAACTCACCATGTTATTCCTAGCCAGGTTTGTTTGCATCAGTTCCACTTTGCCGAATTTGGGTACTTTGAAACCTTTCATTTCAAGTTATTGACTTATTATTTCATTCTTGGGGTTTCCAGGGCTATGTGATATACTCAGTTAGAAAGAAACTGAAGAAGCAATACATTCATCTAGAGGGGAAAAAAATTGAGAAACTGAAGAAATCGGGTGTTCAGGTTCATAAGTTGTTACATAACTTGTGTGATAGAGTGGTGACTGAAATTATTTCTTGTCTAATGAAAATGTTCATTTGTTAGATTACAGATAGTGTGTTGTGTCCAGAAGTAGCCTTCACGGGAGATACAGCATCAGATTTTTATCTTGATCCTCGCAGTGCTGATGCCTTGCGGGCAAAAATTCTTATAACTGAGGTATAGCTGGATGGATAAGCATTTAAGTTAATCGGTATAACCATGTTCAAGCAGTGTCCTCTGTGGGTTTCGGCATTTTATTAATTGACATATTCTACTCTCAAACTAATGCTTAATTGGTACTGATTGTTTTAGTTCAGATGAGTTATCTTGTAATTAATCTCCTTCTAACTCCTTGACTGACTAAAAGTATAGGTATAGGGTTAAATATTATTTTATTTAGGCCGATCTATATTGTGTTCATTGAGGATAGGCCCAAACTGTAAGTTCTGCAGCTTTGCTGCTTATCTTGCTAATGTTGATTCCTTCTAGACTTTATTGGTTGAGTTTTAATCGTTATAGGCCTATAAGGTAACAAGAAATAGGAAAGGACACCAAAGTGGCTTCTCATGTGTATGGTCTGAACAACAGTTATGTAGTTTACCTTGATGTTTTTATTAGTTTTCCATAGATATGGAAAATCAATTAGCTGCTGTTACAGTATTTCATTTTAGTTTCCTCTTGTTTCTGTGCTTTGGGGTTCAATTTGCTACTTTTGTCCTTGGACGACATATAGAGTGGAAATACATGATTAATTAACGCAAATGATGCTGTGACATCTGTATAGTTTTTCACTCCGTTTGACTGCATGCCTATGATATATATCCCTAGCATCTTAAGTAGTTAACTGACCCACCAAACATGTTCATTTCTCTCAAGAATGCTGTAAGATTTCAAATACATAACCCTTGAGGTTGCAGCAGCAGCAAAAATGAAAATGATATCAGAAGGATGAAAGTTCATACTGGGTTATGAACTTGAGTTCCTTTAGAGATTGTGTGTTTAGCTACATACTGAAAAGTCAACTTACCTGATTACTGTGTCCAGGGATTAGCTGAATTGGCTAAGGTTGAGGGACTCGTGTCTTAGGTCACAGGTTTGAGCGCTGCGCCAAGCGAACTAGCCCTGGTATTTAACTGGAGAGGGGTACAGGGGTGGGCGCTCCCCAAGTTACCTTTAGACAGATTTCTCGGTCATAAGTAAAGAGAGAGAGAGTCAAATTACCTGATTATTTGTTGCGTTGACACGAAGAGTAGAAATATTTGTTTGATAAAGTGACATGGAAAAGGTAGACCTGTTCCTTTCGGCATACATAATCAACTTTTTGGAGTCCTTTTTTGTTTCTAATGCCATAGTTTATTGGCAAACTGGTTTATCCTTGTAATGTTTATTGGCTTAGTGAAAAATGAAATGGTCAATAAAGGAAGCAATTAGAACAATATCCTAACTCACTTCATGGAAGCATTTGACATGACTTCGTCACTCCTGTCAATTCTTTTTTTTGACTTGCTTTGATTTTTTTCCTTGAGCCGAGAGTCTTATCGGAAACAACCTCTCTACCTTCCAAGGTAGGGGTAAGGTCTGCGTACACTTTACCCTCTCCAGACCCCACTTATGGGATTACACTGGGTATGTTGTTGTACCTTATGGAAGCATTCTGATGCAGCAGTTAGGATCGAGCTTTAATCTCATCTCGGGGACGTTATTTCTTCTTTGACAGGCAACTTTCTTGGATGACAACTGCAGTGTTGAGCATGCACGAGAGCACGGTCATACCCATCTATATGAGGTATACCTGAATCATTGAAACGCTTCCATAATATTTATCATGATGTTGGATACAACTCTTCCAACTTTTGGTGTTGCAGATAATGGAGCAAGCAAAATGGATACGGAACAAAACACTCGTTTTAACCCATTTTTCACCACGCTACAGTATTGAGGTAGTCTACTCGGTCTCAACTTGTGTTTTCAGTTTTATTCAACTTCTTCCTTGTTTTCTCACCCGCACCTATGCTTATATGCGTTCAAATTCGATTTATTTTGATAGAAAGAAGAACCCCGTCCCACACCAAACCACATTTACTTATTCTATGGTTAGATAGTATTTTGAGGTGAAAACACACACGTCAAGTGATGAAAGTGCATGCACATATCTTGTTATTATTGATTTGGTGTAAACATCGAACGTGTGCAAATTTCCTCCCGGAATCTCCTAATAGTATTTTTCATCATCGATTACAGGAAATCCGTCAAGGTATATCGAAGTTGCAACCCCAGATATCAGCCAAAGTGGTTGCCTTAACTGAGGGCTTCAAATCAATGCACTTGTAGCTATTCTTTCTAGTTGAGCCTCTTGGTCTGTCATTATACCTCGAGATGATTAGAATAGATTCGTAGATCAGGTCAACTGAATCGTTGTAAACTTATAATATTTCAATAGGGCTTATTCATAGCCATTCTTTTGATCTTTTGTAAGAAAACTTACATATGAGTACCTAGTTTGTGGTACTCTTGTTTTCGAGGAAATGAAATTTCTTGCCTTTTTACAATTTGAATAGAAGAAAATGACCTTTTCAGATCACTTATATGTAATAGGGAAAAGGCTCATCTATGCCATTATCGTTTAAGAAAAGGCTCATTCATGCCATTATTTTTTAATAGTGGTTTTGCAAAATCAGTTTTTACACGTGGCCAATTATAATTCGGCCACGTCATTAATTTTTTTATAAAAAAAATCAAAATTCTGAACAAAAATTGAATTATAATTCAGCCACGTTATTTTTTTTTTTTAATTCAATTTTTACAAAATCATTTTTTACACGTGGCCAATTATAATTCGGCCACGTCATTAGTTTTTTTATAAAAAGAATCAAAATTCTGAACAAAAATTGAATTAAAAAAATACCACGTTATTTTTTTTTTTTAATTCAATTTTTACAAAATCATTTTTTACACGTGGCCAATTATAATTCGGCCACGTCATTAATTTTTTTTATAAAAAAAATCAGAATTCTGAACAAAAATTGAATTAATAAATTTCACAAATAAGAAGTTTCGAACTTAACTTGGATATTATAAAGGATTATCATATATAACATAAAAAAATTCCACCTATATTCTCGATCCATCATTATACCTCAAGAAGTATAAAGAATTACAATCTTCATTCCACCTAAAATTTACGGAATTTGTTGATAATTAGAATAAATTCGTAGATCAAATCAACTATTTCGTTTTAAATTCAAAATATTTTCATAGGGTCTATTCATATCAACATTTTATATAGAAGTTATTATCTCAGCAATAATGTCTTATGCCCCTTTGCTCATGAACTTAAGTTATTGGGCCTCCAAGTTTGTTGGGAAGAACCCCACACAAATGTGATATAACCAACGTGTTTTTTACTTATTTGTTTTTGAATATGATATGAATTATTAAAGTTATACGCATGACTGTAGGGGTGTTCACGGTTTGAATAAAAACCAATCCAAATAAAAAAATCGAACCAAATCGATTTTATTTGGGTTTAATTTGGTTTGGTTTTAGATTTTTGAAAATCAATAGTATTTGGTTTGGTTATAGTTTTATTTTTAAAAAAACGAAGAAATAACTTAACCGAACCGATGTGATGAATTATATACATATATTTTATTAATTAATATATATATATATATATATATATATAGTATATTATTTTTATAAACAATTTTAAAGATCTTATACATATTTTCATTAAAATTTCTTTATAATTTACTTATTGAAAGCAAAAGTGTCCAAGGTGAAAACATTTATCTTATTGATTTCACGTATGTGAGTATTTATGACGATTCTTTGTGGGACTGAAAATGTTACTGTACCTTCCTTCTAGGCCAAAATAGTGAATTTTAAAACTTTATTCATAGTAAATTCAGTGATCGAAAGTTTAGTAATTTTAGTCATTCTAACTATTTATCGTTTTGAATGGATAAGTCAGTCGTTTTAAAACTTGTTGTCACTTTTTTCACATTTTGAATGAATTGTTTCTTTTATTTTTGTGTATGGTAAATAACCAAATAATCGAATCAAACCAAATCCAAACCGATAAATGTATATTATATTTGGTTTGGTTTGAATTTGATAATTTTTAAAACCGACTAAGTTGGTTTGATTTTGGTTTTGACCAACAACCGATCCAAACCGATCCGTAAACACCCTTACGCATGAGATACAATCTATTAGGTGTGATTCAATTTTATTTTACTTTCTTTTGATTCATTATTAAAACGAGATATTTCTAATTTAAGGAAAGTTTGTAAAGATACAAAAGGGTAATACTCCCCTACTCCACTTTTATTTGTTCACTATATTAAAAATAATGATTCGTTTTTTACTAATCCTTCAATTTAATGAGGTTCATGCTTCACATTTTTTTGGGAGACTAATCATATATATATATATAAAAGAGAACCTTAGGCCCGCCTACGTGGCGCCACCACAAACCATGATTCCTTTTTAATTTATTTTATTTCCAATACTAGCCTTCCCCTTTCGTGAAAAATTGTGACTTTTATGAAGAGTTGTGACTTTTATGAAGAGTTGCAACTTTTATGAAAAGTTGTGACTTTTATAAAATGTTGTGACCTTTCCGAAGGGTTGTAACTTTTTCAATGAGTTGTGACATTTTCGATAAGACACAATAGTTATTTGTTCACACTACCCTTTGTTGTCTATAAATAGAGGACTTTCCTCTCATTTTAAAACAACGAAATTTTTTGAACTTCTTCTTCTTCTTCTGGACAATTAAATATTTGTGTACTTTGCTCCTGTTGAATGACTCACTGACACCATTGTGTTTGTATCAATACACTGGTGAATAGAATCGCTCTATCTTGAGATGATCTATCCCTTTAAAACTCGAATACTAGAGGGGAATAATTTCCTTAAGGGGACACTGTGCATTTAGTGGGCTCGATTTTTTCCATTTTGTTTCATTCTATTGTTGAAGATCCTGGTATGTTTTTTACAGTCATTAATTTATGTATATATTATTAATTGTTGTTTTTGAGTATATGCTTTAAACTTTGTTGTTTATGTTTATGCAAATTTATTGTTATAAGTATTTGTTAGTACAGATTAAATAACAAACGTTAATTGATTATTCAAGCAAATTTTCTTTACTGAAATTGTTAAAGGTAGAATAAAAAAATCCCTTACAAATCTCTAATTTCTTCATCAACAACGTCATTCCTTCACATACAAGGATGCAATTTTGGTGTTCTTTAGAAAATTTTCTGAGAGTTAATAACTTTGCATGCCCATTTTTTTTTAATGTTATTTTTGTCTATTTTTACTAAATTTTATCAGTGGATATTACGAGTATTTTAAGGATTGAAAGTTGATTGAAGTGTTAGTCAATTTTTTGAGGTATGTTATTTCAAAACATAGGAACTTTTCTGGTTAGAATTATTTGTTATCATCATTGGATATGCCATAGTTTACTCCCTTTAATGTATGTTTTTTCTCGCTGTTTTGTTGTCTCCTTAAAATTGTATTGATTATTTTCCGTTTGTATATGATCTCACTTGGATAAAACTTTTCGTCCTTTTAATATTTTTCTTTTTTCCTTCTCATTCGGCTCTTCTAAATATTTTTGGTGTGAGTTATGACTATTTTCGGCAAGTTTAATTTGAAGAATATGAAGCAAAAATTACTCTAAATAAAAGTAATATCTTAAGCTACAAAAGATATGTCTATTAACATAGATTTGTTGTCCTTCATGTTCCAAGTCATTGCTGAGCGTTTGAGTTATCTAGGTTAGACTCATTTTTAATTTCTAATGTTAGAGTAATTATTTTCTTTAACATGAGTATAGAATCCAACATTTTTGATCGTCTTGTACTTTCATAATGTAACAATTATACATACATATTTCGGAAAAAGTCGTAAAGTTGCCTTGATGAAGCATCTATAAGGGTCTTCAGAGCAGCAATTTAATGAAGAATGAATTTCTAAAAAGGTCAAAAATATTATTTTATTGTTGTTTCAAATTTATTTTTCTCCTTCTATAAATTTTGTTAGAGTAACAAAGTAACAATAACGAAAAGTGGTGAACGTTTGACCCTAGACAAGTAGATTGTCTCTAACAAGATTTATTTATGTTGTTGGTGTACATTTTTAGTGGTCTTAACTTCTTTATAACTAATATTGATTATCGAAAACTTTCACATAATTTTTTTTCACAAGGAGTTATTCTAACCATAAAATTTCTAGATTCTATAATTTTTCATGTAAAAAAAATTGAAATAGTGATGTCGTTTCATAAAAACATCACTCAATTTTAACAAGACAATTATATCATCAAACATATATTATGATAAATTATGTAAAAGATAAAAATGATTAGATATCAAGATATTTTTAATCATTAATTATATATTTACAATTCTTGAGATATGTGATAATGTCAAATCATTTAATTTCTGTTGAAATGTTCTAAAAACCCACTAAAATTTACTTTTTTTCCCCCTTAAAACAGTCGATTAGTGGAAAGGTTGTTCAAAAACATAGAAAAATTACTTATGCCCGCGCGAAGCGTGGGTAAATTACCTAGTTTGAAAATAATCAAAAATGTAATAGTGAAAAATAATCCTTAATTTTTTTTCTATCACTTATTATGAACTATAGGAAGTATAAGATATATTTTTTAAAAGTTTCAGTGTATATATTTTGAATTTCTTGAGCACAATATTAGAGATTGACTCAATAGATTAAGAGGATTTCAAAATTTATCGTGAGATTTCAAATTCAAATCTCAAACATTATATTTTTATTTTTCGAATCCTCTTTTTAAAAATTCTAAATTGCTCTTCGTCAACATAATTGCTTACCTACCAAGGGGTAATTTCAGCATATCTTTTAAAACTCAAAAAACTCATCCAAAAAAGGTATGCCCCATTAAACTTTTGCATGGCAGTTGTTTGCTTTCTCTTATCTCCATCACTTTATTATTACATATTTACGTGATTATAAATTATCTTATTAAAAAATAAAATAAATATTTTAAAATTAAATTATAACTAAACTTAGAAATATATTCCCTTTTTATACATTTAAAAAGAAAAGTAGGCGGTATTAATTGAAACAAAAAAAGAGTAATATATATGTACAAATTGCATAAAAAGTATTATAAATCACAATAATCAATAATTTATAAAAAAAGTTGGATTGATTCTCGACATTTCATCAGTGTTAACTGTTGCATGAATTGAGACGTAGTGAGTACCATATATTGAACTCGTGTCAACACATGCTCTTGTATCTAATACTCCTTCCATTTAAAAAAAATAAAATTACTTTCCTTTTTAATCTATTTAAAAAAGAATGACCCATTTTTCAGGGTAATACTTCAATTTCAGTTTTCATGTGGCATGTTAAAGCCACAAGATTAAAGTACATTTTGATACATTTGACATAACTTTAATTTAGGATACAAAATTAAAAATCTTTTTTATTTTCTTAAACTCTGTATCAAGTCAAACTATGTCTTTTTTTTTTAAAACGGAGGGAGTAA